TTTCCTCATGTAAATAGGCAAAAATATTCTCATCTGCCATTCACACACTTCAGAAATACAGTTCATTGGCCCATATTGTGCCTTCTCTGTGCTAGGGATGAACTTAATTCTTCTTATGTGTGAAAGATATCTGCAATTTAAATGACTAATTGCATTGTAGCTTTAGGCTGAACATATTGGTAACGTGCAAATGTTGATGACATGTGAAGGGTCAAGAGATTTATAATTTAGTTGACAATACATTGCTTAAAATGAAGTGGCAAAGAGCCAGAAAATTTCAGCTTAATAATTGTCTATTAACTAACATGACATATTTGTATAGTATTCATTACCTCCAGGTACAGATTAAGCATCTGATGTACCCATACAAAGTGACATGCGTACATGAATCTTGGGCATAATAGTGAATAAACTGACATTACATTCACAGTAATTTGTTTCAATATGTAAAACATGTTGTTGCCTACTTTTCAAAGGACTTGTAGGAATGTTGCAATGAAATCTGAGGAAAAATGTGTAGTTGAATAGAGTTCTCTATTACATAGATCTGACAGCTTCATGCTGCAGATAACATCATAAATATACATGTTTGTTTTCAGCTCCATGAGAAGCAGCCTGGAAAAAGATCTAAAGGCTTTCAGTCATTGGATTGATCTACCCTAATGGTCTATAAGGTTAAAAAAAACCCAGCTCTCCCAAATCCCAACCACTTAACAGAACTAACTTTATTTTTTAAAAAGAATCATGTAAATACTGAGTATTGTGGTATTTAGTATTGTGAATGTGAAAGTGTTTCTATTAGGTTAAGGTTTGTTAGAAAAGGGAGCATCACTACGCTTGCTTGTAACCCAAGTATTATCAGCTTCTTTCACTTTGTTTTCTCAGGCTTAAGTTAGGCACTTTGCGAGCAAAACTGTCACAGTTCTGACAGGGTCTCTTTGTTCCCTCTTGCTGCTGAGGGAGACCCAGGAAAGTGTTTTTGTGCTCCACAATGTGTTAATGGCTTTTTAACCTTTTTTTCTCCTGTGAGACAGGAATGTGTGCTGTGTTTTACAGCTGAGAAACTGCCATCCAGGGTACACTAGATACCACCAACCTCAGTGTGACCACAGGTGACAGAGCTGGGGGTTGAACCTGCATGGTTTTGGCTCTGACTCGCTAGGTGCTCTTACCACCAGACAATGCCTCTAGTACACACAGCTGTAATATTTCAGTGTTTGGAGATGTCATTGAAAACTAGTAACTTTGCTTCCTTCTGCTGGTGGTGTTCTTTATAGTGTGTAGCAGAGCTGCAATGACAGTTTGCTCTCTTAGGGTCTTAGCTCTGGGACTGGGATATGTTTATGCCACACCAGAAGCTGAAATGAGAACTCTTGGCTTGACTTTTAACTGAACACTTTGCTCCCTTAAAGTGCCCCCCTCTCAAGAGTTTAAAGCTTTACAATTGATTGGTGTGAAGCCATTGAATTTGAGAAGGGAGTCAGGAACAGCTCACTGAATCTCAGCTGAACTTGGTGGGAGGGAAGTTGTTTGCTGACCCCTCTGAACTTTGTTTCAAGGTCTGTAGCATAGCTCTGTGCAATTTTGATATCCATGTCAATATCTGTGATGCAGACTTGTAGGTCACGTACTCCAGGTACATCGGAGACTAGGAATAAGGTGGTGATGGTAGCTCAGGTAAATTAAGAGCCTTGGTGCAAGCTGTGGCTCTGAATCAACTTCGTTCTTGCCTTTTCAGAGTTGATATTTAATTCTCAGTCCAGCCACTGGAGAGAGCTCTAGAGATCTTAAAACAGGTTTCAAGAGCAACCTCTCAACAAAACTAGCAGCACAACAGGCATGGGACTACAACAGGAGCTTCACAGTATATTCTGCTACCCAGATCAGTGAGAGCAACTGATCTCTGTCAGCTGTGTATAAAAGGCTCTAAGGATGAAGAAAGGGCAACAGCACATTGCTTTGGCAAAGTTGCTGATTTGGCTTGACTCTGAGGATAGACCAAAAGCAGGACTATTACCGCTGTGGCCTCCTGGGGCTGTTTTTAAGCCAGCTGGTGTTCTTGTAGCTATGAAGGGTGGTTTCCAGTGCCATTTTGCCACAGCACCTTACCTGGCATGTGAACAGGTAATCAGCTGTTGGTACCCGGGTTGACTGGTTGTATCTGTGCTGGCAGTTGCCCTTCCTGGGCTGCATGTCTCTGTCATTTCTCTTTCAGAAGGAAAGCAGGGTGCTGGGGGTTCAGTGGAAGTCAGGAACTTCAGGATATGGCTGACATCAGTTGCTAGTTAAGGCACTAATAATTAGATGTTGCAGAAGGGGGAGTGCAGGCTGGTGGCAGCACCCTTTGCTAACATTGGATCTACAGGGATACACTTCATATTCACTTACCTTTGTACTTGTCTGTAGCCTGGTTGAAAAGTAGCACTTGTTATTTCCCCTCAGAAGAGGCTGTCTTGGGGGTAAGCTGAAGACTTCTGCAGTGAAGAATCCCCCAATACAGCAAGATGCAAGAAGCAGTTGCTGCCCAACTGGAAGGAACATAATAGAGATGTCTGGGAGCAGGGAGCAGACTGGTTTTCTAAACAGAGTATTAAGGTCTCAGAAGCAGTGTGAGGGAGCTTCTGTGCAGGAAGGGGTATATGAGATGTAAGGGAGATGCCTTCTGGCTGTTGCCTAGGGCCAGACAAGATCAGCCTTCTGCCCAACAGGAACTTTTGGTTCTCTGAATGTTTTACTACAAAAAGTTAGGCCTCCTCACCCTCCACTGCTTGGTCCAAAACCAAACCATGAAAAGACCAATGTTTTGATGCAGCTGTGGAGGACAGTAGCTAAATGGAGTTAGTGCTCATTTCCCTATAAACTTCAGAGTGAGTCCCCCAATATAGTCCCAGTCTGGTCTGGAATGACATAGGCTGGCTGTTGGCTTCTTTAATTTTAAACCTTTTGAGGCTTTGAGAGAAGGACCTTTTCTTCTAATTTGGATGTGGTAGCAGTTGTTGATTGCTTTAAATGTATTCAGGAAATATTCAAAGAGCACCTGGCCTCTGTAATGCTCTACTCAGTAGCTCTGATAAACTGGTGTGATGCTACATGGAACTTAGAAGTATGAACTGTCTGGTTTAGCAAATAGGATTCCAGGACAAACTTTGGATGGGTTATTACAGCATAACATCACTTTACATCTCCGCACTGGGCATGATAGGTAAGAATTTAAGAATAAACAAATCCATAACTCGGTCTCAAATGCAGACAGCTTGGCACTTCTGCCCTATTGTAGCATCTCGCAACCCCCAACAGCATCCAAAGCAGGCTGGGGGATTTGTGCTGCCTGCCTCCTTTTTGTAAGGGACTAAACAGGATTGAGGTGGCTTTGTTCAGTGTCCCTTTAAAGGTAAGACTTCTAGTCTAATAACTGTTTAGAGAGAAAATACTTTCACCTCAATAAAGTTCTTTGAATTATAAAGGACATTGCTGTTGGGTTACTGAAAACCCTTGGGGTTTGTTTCATTTATAACATTGCCTCGGGCCTTCTGCTGCATCCTGTTGGATTGACCTCCTTTTCAACCCGTGCTGGCAGCTGCATTGCAGAGTTATCTTTTCCCTGGATCCTTCAGGGTTGTCATATGACAAACTTGAACTGTGACCCTTTTGTGTCTTACCAGGCCAGCAGTGCCCTCTCTGTGCGATGTGGCCAGCAGTCTTCCCCACGCACACATTTGTTCCAAGCCATTTAACAAACTGAAAGTTTCAAATGATGGCGTTTCATAGTGTTTAATAGTATTGACTGTAAAGCAAATGAAATGGTGCTGAATACCCTGCATGCTGCTAGGAAGAAATACAGCTTCCATTTCTGCAGTATGCCCTGGGTTTTCTGTGGTTAGTGTGTACTCTCTGGTGAATCTCTTTTATTTTTTAAATAAATTTCAGTGCTTCCCCCCAAACAACAGTGGCATTCACTGCTACAGATAGTCCAGCACTGGTATTTGTTTCTAATGTATGGGGGTTTTAACCAGATTTCTGTAAGCAAAGTGGGCAAAGTCATTTTGCAGAAGTCTTGCGGAGAGTATTAGGGTGAGAACTGATATAGTTAACATGGCAACCAAGCAGCACCATCTCCAAGTGGTGTTGATGCTGGCAGGCATTGCCTTCCTGAAGTTACAGAGACTGAGCACTCGTATTTGTACAAATTGCATTCATTACCAAGAACCCTCCAGTAGTGATAAGAGACTGGCTGTGTAGCATAGATTGGCTCCAAGATAAGTAGCCAGTCTATTGTGCAGCTCATGGTAATCTTCCTCCTCCCTGCCCCTAATAATAAATCTTGGGGCATTTTGGAATGTGTGGGGGTTGCTCATTCCAGTAGCCTGAATGTATAACTACTCAACATCATCGTCTCCTACCAATTGTGCTTTCATAACCAAGTGAGGCAGCCGACTGAGATGGATAGACTCAGATACAGTGTTCTGAACATGCAGATGCTTTGACTGTGTTTATTTGTTGCTCCCTTAAAGGACAATTCACAGGTGATGGCCAGGGTAAGAGTTTCTTCCGCCTGTGTTCCAAGGCTAGAGCCCACTTGCAGTGATGGTCTTCTTCAAGAAAAGATACGAACATCTGCAAGTGGGAGTAACAGCTTTGCATAGGAACCGTGGTAGTACCTTCTTCATAGTTAGCTTGTTCTTTCTCAGTGCAAGTGTGTGTTATATGACTTCAGTGAAATGGCAGTTATTCACCTTACCATAACAGTAGAGTTTTAAAGAATGATTTGTCTAAAGAAAGAATTTTTCTGGCTGCTTTGACTGAAATAAAGCTGCAATTGGCAAGTGCTTGCTTTGTCTTTTAAACTATCTAATGTGCAAGGACTGGGTTTCAACATGTAAAGCTGAACATCAGCAGGCTAGGTTTATGCAAGCAGGCAGTATAATCCAACAAGTTCAGTTAAAAACATGTATTTACATGGAATTCTAATAATTTTTTTTCTCTGTCTCTCCCCCATTTAGGGTTTGAATGGCAATGGAGTTGCTCCTGGATCATCAGGTTTTAGCCTTACGAAACAGCTGCTCTGTCCAAGAATAACCCGTGTCTGTCTCAGGGACTTGATATTCTGCATGGAACAAGAGAGGGAGATGAAGCATTCTCTAACCTTGTACCACGCTCTTCTGAAATGATTTGGATTTTACACTTCACCTTGCTGTCTACTGCCAAAGAAAACACTGAAGCATTGTTGCACTGTCTTGAAATTCCAATTTCTGGAAAATGATCCGTTGTAAGGATAACTCTTGTTTACAGATAAACATTTTTATTAAATGCCTAATCTAGCTAGGGGTTTTAATAATACTTGGCTTAAACCAGTCTCTAAACCAGTGAAAACACTGAGCTGCACACACAAGCACTTGACTACTACCTGCTTGCATTTAACTGTCATGCAGGGTCTGAGGGCTTGATACGTGTCTCTAGTTCATGTTTGTTGCTTTCTTCAGTGCTCCAGAGTCTGCCACATCTGTTCTACATGTAGTGCCTTCTTCAAATCCAACTCTATTTAGGGAACAAGTAACACTTTAAATGCACTGCACAGCATGGCAACTGTAATCGTGAACCTGCAGTCAGTCCATATGCTAATGTATCACCTATCAGGCTCAGCATCTCCTTAAATTTTCTGGGTTTATAATTACTACTGGATGTTCATTTGTGAAAAGCAAAGTAACAAGCAAAAGGAGTGTGGGGTGTTTTCTCCCCCTCGCCTTGCCTCAACTGCCTTCCCCCTTTCCTCTGAGAAACTGACTTGGGAAGGTGAACAAATCGGTGGCTCTTGTGATTCAAGTATATTAGACAGCGTAGTTAGGACATACTTTGGGGAAAATCTGGAGTTAGTAAACTTGAATACAAGGAGTGAAAGAACCTGAAAAGGAAGACTAAACAGAAGAAACAGTTTATCTTTCTGTAGCATTCAACTTGAGCATAGATGTAGAAAAAAATTAACAAAAGCAGCCTTTACTGACTACAAAAAGGGGAAAGCTTGAGGTGCATTGTAACTTTGCAGCTGGAGACTCTCTTAAGGAGAAAAGCAGTCTTTACAAAGCACCGAATTCACTGCTTTATTGAGAATACTGATTTAATACCTTAATGTGCTGTAACAGGGAAAATTACCAAATAGAAAGTATTTAGGCAGTTGCCTGGTTTCCATTCAGTGAGAAGGAGGAGGACTCCAAATTATTAAGACTGCTAGGACAGATACGGAGATTTTGTACTTGCTTGGCTTGTGGTGGAAGGAATACCCTCAGGGTCACCCTTCTCCCCAGCCTCCAAACTTTTTGCCTCCCATGACACAGTGCTGTATAGTATGGCTGTTTCCCAGGATTGGTGGGAAAGGCACTGACTTTATTGAATGGCTTCCTGCTGAAACTGTTTTCTTTCAAGAAATGAGCTTCCTCTGGTTACTTGGCATGCTACTTCAAAACTTGAAGCGATGATTCAAACACCTTCCACTTTCAGAACTACTGCAGATAGTTACCAAGTTCATTAAGTTTTGAATCTGTTATGGGTTGTTTTTTTTGTTGGAACAGTAGTAAACAAATCTAGTAAGTGAAAGCTGTAAATTATTTATATATGTATATATAGCATATATATATATATAAAAGAAGAGCAGTACTTTGAGTAAGCTATAGTTTGCAAGATATTGATGGCATCAGTCAAAATTGTTTTTGTATAATTAAATGCTTAGCTTTACTTTTTATGTAAAGTGCAGCATTTTCCATATTTGTGTACTGTATCTTATTGAGCAGATGTTTAAAATTATTTTAAATACTGCATCAAAGCAATTATTTTATTAAAAATAATAAATCAGTATCTTTGTTTTCTAACATGAGAAATTCAGCATCTGAAGCAGTCATCACCATGACTAATGGTGTGGCTCTGAGAAAGAGCCCCATCTATCTGCCCATCACAGTGCTTGGCACAGTTGCCTCATGGGACATATTAGTGATAAACATCTATATTTTAAGGTTTTTAAACAGAACCAAGTGACAGAGCAGGTGATTACTTGAAGGGGGAGTGGGCAGGGAGAAAAAGCAACCTCTCGTTTGTCTGATTTCCCACAGTCAGTCAGCGCAGAGGCTGGGTTTTGTTGTTGATTGGGGCTTTTTTAACAGCTGGGCAGAGGCGAGCGCTTTGCACATGTTCTGTGCAGTAAAAACACAGACTTCAGCAATGTGCAGTGGAAGCATTGTCCTGAGTTATTTTTAAAGCAACTCCCAATTAGTTAAGTGCAGGTTGGAGAACAAAGATGGGCATCTGCACGTTGTCCTGCCTCTTCATCATCTTTAAACCAGTGCGATACTGAAATGAAAGATGGAGAAAATAATTTATAATTAGGTACATAAAAAGTATGATAGATGATTCAAGTGCAATGCAGATTGCACGCTTTCACTGTTGCCCTGCTCTTTCACCAGTAGTCTACCACCTCCCCCCACCCCAACCCAAAAAAATGTATGCTGTAGTAGCATAAATAGTCTGAGTAGCAGATGTTTTCAGGAAGGTTTCTCAGCAGGTCCTTAGGGCTAATTTCAGACAGGACAGAGAAGGCCTTGGTGCAAATACTAAAAGTACTTGTCTCCCTCCCAGGGGTTCAGCCTGCCTCTCATTCAAGCGCAGCTTAGCTTCTGAGAATAAGAAGTGTCCTCTAGAGTGGCACTTAGGAGACGCATGGGCTTTACTCATGCACAGTAGGAGTAGAAGGAGAGTTAACCAGCAGTTCACTTCCCTCCTTTCTGCAATCTCACTGCGCTTTATGGGAATACTAAAATCCCAGTCACAAGGTGATGAGGACAAACCCTGCCATCATGGTCCCTTGCCTCTTGCTTCTTGGCATGCTCATATTCAAACTTGGGAGCCTAGCAGCAGAGCTGTCTACGCCACCGGTGCTGCAATGGTTCTAAAGCTTGCTCCAGGCACTTCTTGCTGTCCAGATGGTCTGCTAGCCTAGTGGCACCTAGCTAGCTGGGCAGCTATCCCTGGCATTCAAGTATTCAGCCTTTAGGGAAAACACTGTATACAGTTGTGGGGGGAAAAGCTGTTGTCGCTGGCTCTTTACTACTTATCTTAGCAGTGTAGTATGCCAAGTTTTGTATGTTACGTGGTAACAAAAGGGGCTTTGTACTCTCTCCTCCAGCTGCTGCTTTTTCCCTTTATTGGCGTTTTCAGGTCGTACCACTGAATCCAGCCCTTTGCACTGTCTTTGACTCCAGCTTTTCCCTTCTCCCCCTGGGAAAGACTAGCCGGAGTGCACTAACACACCCTGCAGCTTTGTTCGAGGTTTAATGAGGAAGGTAGCGGGGAACTGTGAGACACTGCTAGATGATTCCTCAAAGCCATTGCACTCTCTTGGACACTTTGACATGAGTAGCTTAAGGCTACTGTTTGCATCAAGTTGTTCTAAGCCTACTCTTTTGTAGGCACCTGTGTCCTGCCATGTGAGTGCACTGTGCTCAGCAAAAATGCTGTCAGCTGTTCTCCAGGTTCATCTCTGCTCTGTTCTTTGCTTTCCTCTTCGTTTGTAATCTCTGGGGTGAAGAAGGAAAGACTAAAGCAAATGAGGATGTCCTGAAGGGCAGACAGTCGAAGTGATTGGGCTTGGCAAAATGGGCTTGCTTGCAGCAACTTCTCAAATGAGGGCTGCTGGGTTTCTGAGGCCAAGTGCTGCACATGCTTCCCTCTGCACATAGCGCATACGATGTCTACAAACGCTCCGAGAGCTGCATCCAGTCATTGTTATACAAGGTCTCATGGCTGGAGCCTGCAGCTGTGGAGATAACTACAGTCTGCAGTGAAGGCTTTACTCCTTTGATGGGTACAAAACTGAGCACCAAGGCTGAAGAATGTAGCATGCCAGACCTCTGTTTTGCAGCTTTCAGGACTGAGGTCATTGCCATGTGTCGGAGGCTTGTCCCATGCTCATCTGGCAGAAAGACTGCCTGTATGCAGGCCACAATGCTAGCATTTCACTTAGTGCAGGCCTTTTGTAAGTTAGATGACCACCTCTGTTGGCTTTGTAATGCTGAAGGAATAAGGAAGAAACACTGTCTTTTCCTCCTGAATACATCAGTCCTTGTTCCTACCAGCTTTTCTTACCTCTTCTACTATAGGCAACAGCTTGCTTGCCTGCTCTCTGTGGCTATTCTGGCATGTCAGCTGCTAACTTTGGTACCCAGTCTCTCCACAGGATGCCTTGCTTCACAGATCCCAAGTTGTCTCCAGGCAGCCTGGCAGCCTGCTTTTGAAAGGGTTTCTGCTGTGAAGGATGGAGGAAAAGGAAGATCTCCATTCTGGACTTGAAAGGCTTTTGTGGGGTGGAAGGAGGTGGTGGTGCAGGTCAGCGCATATCAGCCCTGAGGCTGCTCCTTTCTGTGCAAGGAGCAGGTCCTCGCAGGAAGCTTGTTTCATGCTGGCCAAGAACTTCTACCATTAAGTACTTTTTCAGCTGAGCTTTCTACGATGTCCTTGCAGCTGGAGGTGCTTCCACCTTCCAAGAGATGCTTCCCTGAGAGAGCCATCGAAAATTCATGCTGGAGACCCCATCAGAGCCAGTCATTGCTCTCTTGCCCAACCCCAATCTCACAATCCTACATCTCTTCCAGTGTATAGAGCTATCTTGTGTGTTTCAGGAGGACCTTGAGGATTCAGGGGGTGACCAGTATGTGTTTTTCCAGAGCTCTACCCATCAGTACTGTCACTGCCTCCCCTGGGGCTGTGCCATGGTGGGAGGGAGCAAAGGTGGGGGTCTTACGCATGGGTATTGCTAAGGCAGAAAATTCACCGTCATGGCAGCAGCTTGGCACATGCTCCCACTCCGCAGGCTGCACTTGGAGAGCTTCAGTTAGCGGTGGGTGAGCAGTTACTCTCTCTACCAGATCACAGGGAATATCATTTTAAAATCTATTTGAAATGAATTATTATCTGAGAGATCATCTATATCTGTTTTTGAGAGCTAATACATAATTACCTGTAGTTCCCCAAGCTTCTTGAGATATTTGCACTTCCACTTTGAAGTGTTTAGCGTGACAGGGTTTATTATTTACAGTTATTTGAAGGTGTTTCTTATTTTTGTCCTGAGAAGCTGGAAAGGAGGAGGGGAAGTATTTTTTTTCCAAGGAATTATGTATGAATATACATGTACTGTGTGTGTCTAAGGATGGCTGAGTAACTTCTAAAAAGGAACACCCTACTTCTTGTAAAGACTGAATTATGGCAGCTCTCAGGTGTGAAACTGCAGCAGCGTGGAGAGAGGGAGGAAGGGGACAAATTCTTGGTGCGGTTGCCGGTTTTAGTATGTTAAAATCCTTTGATACCTTTGTGCAAAATTGGGCACAGAGAATAAAGAGTCTCTTGAAGAGCTGATCAGCAGGGCTTCTCAAGGAGGGAGGGTAGGGAAAGGAAAAGGCACTCGGAGGATCGAAGACAGCTCGCTCCTCTCTCCATGAGCTTTGGTGATACCTTTACGTATGTTCTGGTAGAGGCTTTCATTTACAGAAATGACAGTAAAGGGCCTATCTATAAAAAAGAAAGATCCATCAAAGTAGTTGGGTATTTGAATGCAGGCTGTGTATTTAATGATTTACTGAGGAAGAAATCCTTAAATCATTGCTTCTTGTTCAACACAGTCTTCATTCTTGTCTTAATGTCTGTTACAGTTTAGAGAAGCACTCAGTAATTATCTATCTTTGAAGGAGTGGCAAGAAGGGCGATGGCCAGCTGCAGACCAGTCACAGAGCTGGATGCAGGACTGGGGAGCATATGCTGTTCACAGGAGCCTGTGGCCTGGCAGATACTGAAAGAAGATGTTGGAAGGAGTGGAAGATCATAGAATCATACAGTCATAGAATAGTTTGGGTTGAAAGGGACCTTCAAAGGTCACCTAGTCCAACCCCCCTGCAATGAGCAGGGGCATCTTCAACTAGATCAGGCTTCCCAGAACCACATCCAGCCTGGCCTTGAATGCAGATGTATAGGTACAGTAGATCATAAAATTATAGAAAGGGTTGGAAAAGGCCTTAAGATGATCTAGTTCCAACCCCCCCACCGTGGACAGGGACACTTCACACTAAACCATGTCACCCAAGGCTCTCTCCAGGCCGGCCTTGAACACTGCCAGGGATGGAGCATTCACAGCTTCCTTGGGCAACCCATTCCAGTGCTTCACCATCCTTACAGTAAAGAATTTCTTCCTTATATCCAATCTGAACTTCCCCTGTTTAAGTTTTAACCCATTACCCCTTGTCCTATCACTACAGTCCCTAATGAAAAGTCCCTCCCCAGCATCCTTACAGGCCCCCTTCAGATACTGGAAGGCTGCTATGAGGTCTCCACGCAGCCTTCTCTTCTCCAGGCTGAACAGCCCCAACTTTCTCAGCCGATCTTCATATGGGAGGTGCTCCAGTCCCCTGATCATCCTTGTGGCCCTCCTCTGGACTTGTTCCAACAGATCCATGTCCTTTTTATGTTGAGGACACCAGAACTGCACACAATACTCCAAGTGAGGTCTCACGAGAGCAGAGTAGAGGGGCAGGATCACCTCCTTCGACCTGCTGGTCACGCTCCTTTTGATGCAGCCCAGGATACAGTTGGCTTTCTGGGCTGTGAGAGCACACTGAAGCCGGCTCATGTTCATTTTCTCATCAACCAGCACCCCCAAGTCCTTCTCTGCAGGGCTGCTCTGAATCTCTGCCCAGCCTGTAGCTGTGCCTGGGATTGCTCCGACCCAGGTGTAGGACGTTGCACTTGGCATGGTTAAACTTCATGAGGTTGGCATCAGCCCACCTCACAAGCGTGTCAAGGTCCCTCTGGATGGCATT